CCGTCTTCACTGTTCATCTTGCGGAGACATTATTGACACATCTTTACAGCCATTTACCGTTTTCATAAATTAAACTTTAGCAAACATAATAATATTATGGCTTTAGAAATTAGCTATTACAATGCTAATTCATAACAAAGACAATATCGAATTCGTCACTGAATTCCCATGTTTTTTGGGACACCCTGTACAAACGACTTAACACTATTATTTGAAAATTAAACAACGTAAAAATGTCTGAATGTAGAATCAAATAAATCCTGAAGGTTTTCTCTCACTTCCAGCTTAACTACCATGTCTAGCCTTTCTCTTCATTTAAGTTATGACTTGAAACATGAAAAAAAATCAATTTTATCGTTGTACTATACACAGACCTTCTTCACTTAATAAAATGATTTTAGAGCTGCTGGTAAAACTATTTATAACAACACCAAATATTCAAACGATTTCTTAAATGTCATCTTCATAATCCACAATTTCATGAGTCCCACTGGTTAACTGAATCTTTTTATTAAAACTGTTAAATGAAGGTTTTTAAGCTTGGAACATTAAGCCTGAGAAAGTAAACACATTTCCACTCGGGCCAGAAAACTTCTTCGATATGTTAATCTTAAAGGGACTGCAAGCAAAATATGTTAATCTTAAAGGGACTGCAAGCAAAATATGCTAATCTTAAAGGGACTGCTGTTGAAATATGTTAATCTTAAAGGGACTGTTGTTGAAATATGTTAATCTTAAAGGAACTGTTGTTGAAATATGTTAATCTTAAAGGAACTGCTGTTGAAATATGTTAATCTTAAAGGGAATGCTGTTGAAATATGTTAATCTTAAGGGAACTGTTGTTGAAACATGTTAATCTTAAAGGGACTGCTGTTGAAATATGTTAATCTTAAAGGAGCTGTTGTTGAAATATGTTAATCTTAAAGGAACTGCTATCGAAATATGTTAATCTTAAAGGAACTGCTGTTGAAATATGTTAATCTTAAAGGGACTGNGTGTATATCTGGGTATGGAGGAGTGTATGAATGGTGTATATCTGGGTATGGAGGAGTGTATGAATGGTGTATATCTGGGTATGGAGGAGTGTATGAATGGTGTATATCTGGGTATGGAGGAGTGTATGAATGGTGTATATCTGGGTATGGAGGAGTGTATGAATGGTGTATATCTGGGTATGGAGGAGTGTATGAATGGTGTATATCTGGGTATGGAGGAGTGTATGAATGGTGTATATCTGGGTATGGAGGAGTGTATGAATGGTGTATATCTGGGTATGGAGGAGTGTATGAATGGTGTATATCTGGGTATGGAGGAGTGTATGAATGGTGTATATCTGGGTATGGAGGAGTGTATGAATGGTGTATATCTGGGTATGGAGGAGTGTATGAATGGTGTATATCTGGGTATGGAGGAGTGTATGAATGGTGTATATCTGGGTATGGAGGAGTGTATGAATGGTGTATATCTGGGTATGGAGGAGTGTATGAATGGTGTATATCTGGGTATGGAGGAGTGTATGAATGGTGTATATCTGGGTATGGAGGAGTGTATGAATGGTGTATATCTGGGTATGGAGGAGTGTATGAATGGTGTATATCTGGGTATGGAGGAGTGTATGAATGGTGTATATCTGGGTATGGAGGAGTGTATGAATGGTGTATATCTGGGTATGGAGGAGTGTATGAATGGTGTATATCTGGGTATGGAGGAATGTATGAATGGTGTATATCTGCGTATGGATGAAGGTATGAATGGTGTATATCTGGTATGGAGGAAGGAATGAATGGTGTATATCTAGGTATGTAGTATTGTATGAACATGGTATATATCTGGGTTTAGAGGAGGGTAGAAGGAGCAGAGAACGGATAAACTGAAAACTATTCCTACAAACCGACCTCCGATCTTTAATATATAAATTCCAATAGAAGAAAATCTTTTAATGGCCGCAATTCTAGATCTTATTCTCATTCAAAAGAGATATTCAACGAGATCTACAGGGTTTGTTAAGAAAAGAAATTTTACTCTCTATTCCAATCAATTCTTGACAGGGGCGTAGTGGAGGTTTAGCCTATGGCGGTGAATTTTTTTTATGCACCCGCTAACGGTTGATGTGCACCCCCCTAAAAAACCCCGTATTAAGATAAGAAATTAAAGCTAAAATCTATATTAATCTACCTGACTATTCATCTGACCATAATTACCAATCATATCATTATAAAATCAAGTATTTTGAGTATATCAAATATCATAAATCATACCAATATCAATCATATTTTGACTTGATTACACCGGAGACAGTATTATTTAAAGATTAATAAAATTCTGCGTCAATCATCTTGCTCTGAGAGACTGAAATGAATTTGAAATGAAACCCCGCGAAAAAAATATTGTAAATACGATTACGGTACAAGAAAGAATTTGAGAAATTATCATAAAATTGACAAATTGTGACATTGTGGATTGATAAGAAAAGAAAAAAATCTAAATATATATTTCAGTTTAATATATTAGAGCAGCTGCCTCTTGCTCTAGGGGGTGCACAGGGGAACCGCCCCCTAATACGTCCCTGATCCTTGATCAAGTTAATCAATATTCATGCTAATAGATTTTTCTATTTAGAGGAGGGGGAAGGGAGGGGATAATATTTAAAGGACATTCAGGATAAAATTGTGTAATTTTATAAGTTGTTTGATAATATGCTTGAGTTATGTTTCTATCAAGAATAAATAGATTCATGTTAAGTGTTCCCCTCTCTGTAAATTGATATATTATAGCTTAATAATGTATCTTTTAATACATTTAAAAAAAAAAATATTTTACGGATCTTTATATAATGTTTTCTTGAAAAAGTCAATATCTAGATTAAAGGGAGTGTTCGCGAATTTCAAAACAGGTGAAAATTGTGAACAATTACTTTCATCATGCAATGATAAAACTATGGATGATTGCCGTCGCCATTTTTTCCTTAAATAAAAAAATTTCTGGATTCCCGCAGATTAAAATGTTTATTATTATCTTGATGGATTCCCGCAGCTTAAAATGTTTATTTTTATCTTGATTAAATCATAAAATTTATCAGTTAAAGACTATTGGCAAAGAGGGCAATGTCCGACTTAAAACGGTCTCTTATAACCTTAGTGTTCGTCTAATACTGAGAAATGAGTGTGTAAACTTATCAAAACCCGCTTGTATCGCGGCAATTTCCAGTTCGTAGTGTGCGTTACACACACCCAATTTCTATAAGTTTACATTTGGCAAAGTTATAATGCAAGGAAAGTTAATTGCAGTTGCGTATTCTCTGCGTACATATTGAAACCAGTTCTCTCTGGGTGGGATTTGTAATCAAGAATAGATGCATCAGTGTTTGTTTAGTGTCCGTGGAGGATAAAAGCATTTAATTTTGATAATTTTGACAATTCATATAATAGTTTCCTATGACCAGAATATTTCATTAATGTTTATGTGAAAGATGGATCCCATGTCAGGCCGTGACATCCGTCTTGTGTTTACATTACCGCCCAGAGACAGTACAAAAGATGCGTACACCTCTGAAATAACTTTCCTTGCATTATAACCTTGACATTTGGTAAATCGGTCATTGCCCTCTTTCCATGGAGATTGGAGAGTCCCTTGACATGACGCTAACAAGTCACTTAAAAGGACATTATAGTCTCATCCTTTGTGGTTATCCCTGTATTCATATTATGTCTGAAAATCCTAGATAACTTGGCTTAAAATATTAAGGGTCTATTTCTAGATGAAATTAACAAAAGACCTGATTGGAAAGAAAAGCGGCGGCCATCATTGCACTGTTTCTTGGTAACCACCGTATGCTACCAATTCAGAACTCTTTCTAGTTATTATTTGAATTTTTTATGTCTCATTATAGTTTATACAATTATAGAATTATGATAAACTAATTTTGATTGTTTTATGCTTAAATGACGCATCGCTACCCATTTTATTATAATGTTAGCCTTTAAATTTTGCTAAAATTGTAGCCAGTTTTCTTCGTCCACTTTACATATTTTGCACGTTTTTCATCAGTGAATTTAATCTTACATTCATTTTCGAGAAAGAAACTGCCTGAAATTCTACCAATCAGAGCGTCAATTGTAATCGATGAGAGTTCTCATTGATCAGAAATGTTTTGTATTGGCCTTATTAAATTTTTCAAAATGATAAATTCTTCTTAAATTTTCTGATTAGACCCGAAAATCGTAATTTAGACCCATTGACGATCTAATATGATGTGGGACACCCTGTACTTCAAAGTACAGGTTCTTCACATTAGTATTAAATATGTAGCATTAAACACTTAACTATCCATTAAAAAATAATTAGAAAGAAGTGTTCTTTTTTCTCTCTCTTTAGAGTAAAAATAATTATTGTGAACTTGACGCTCCGTGGACAGGGTTACACATAAAGAGACTTTACGAGACACCTTGATGTCAAATAAAGAGACTTTACGAGACACCTTGATGTCAAATTCACAACAGTGCCCTTTAAAACCGTAACTAATAAAAATATTTTTTTTCCTACGTGGTTTCCCTTTAAGAAACAATTTGTCTAGTCATGGTGCAGATACAATGAAAGAAACCGTCAGAATTGAACACGTTTAAAACATACGCCGACGATTGTTATTGAGATAGAAATTGAAAGTGTACCGTTGTGAATCAAACATAGGGTAACTTAAAATTGCGTATACTTAAAGGGAGTGTTCGCGAAAAATGAAAGGTGGTTTAGGCTTACGGCGAAAAATAATCAATTTTGATCGCTACTAATCTTACTACTGTTGCGTTTATAAGGAGAAAATTGTTAAAAAAACGACTTGTACCACAGAACGTAGAGTCCATACAAATTCGGAAAGTTGCGAACACTCCCTTTAATAATTATTATACAAACTCGCAACACCATGTTGAAAAAACAAATAATTGATTTTGACTGAAAAGATTCCGTACCTCGAAGAACTTTGCTTCCTGAAACATAATATCAAACCATGAAGACCGTTTATAATTTATTCACAACTCTAATTTACGTCACATATTAAATAAAGTTTCTAGAACTTGAATTTACGTCAAAGTTTCTAGAACAGACTGGAAGACGACATTTTGAAAAGAGCAGACTTAATTACTCCTGTATTCCCCTCTAAGATTACTTCCTAAGAATAAAAAGAAAATTAAAAACAGATTTAGATTCTTTAAACGCTTTAACAAGCATATATTACATTTATTTTATCAAGACAAGTTTGCAACTGTTTCATAAAATTAACCATTATTGTTTTAAAACAGAAATATAGCACTGCATGGGCGCACCAACATAAAATAGCAAAGAATTGTTAAATCATTTGTAAATGTAAGTTTTATACTATGAACATCTTCTGAAATGAAACTTGTAAAAATGAATTGCGGAATTGTTGAAATATTTTTTGAATGTAATAAATTAATGTACAATTTGTACGTGAATTTTGAATTCAATTAATTCGTGTGTAATAAATGTAATGAATGAATGAAAGTAATGGATGAATGTATTGAAAGGATGAATGCACCTGATTATGATGGGATATAATGATATTAGCGTCCTCTATGAGCTGGGATTTCTGAACTCCGATATCACTCTTAAACCTGACAACTTTCTGGGATCTGTGTCCAGACTTTTCGAGTTTATTCATCCCGTGGAATACAGAGATATCTTTACTCTGGTAGCTCCAGTGGGTTCTAAACAGATAAAATGTGTTATTTAATCTGAACACACTTAGAGGCCACAAGAACACACTTAGAGGCCCCAATTGAATCTTTGCCACAAAATTAAATTTTAAAATCCCTATATCTTTGCAGCTTGATGGTGAAAACCTTTGATATTTCAAAATTAAATGGTTTGATATAACAAAACTCAGTGTTAGAAATAACTAAGGTCTACGACATTGGGGTGGAGAGATGTAGGGATTACAAAATCAGAGTTGGTGGCAAAGATTTAATTCCTTTATAAATATTAAGGATTCATAGAAAACAAAACTTTACTTTCATAATCCACTAGAAACTTAGGGTAATGGAGCTTTAATTTGTATTATATGCAAATATTATAAAACAAACAATAGAATAATGCTCTGAGCTTAAATTAGTACTAAGAAGTTAGAAATTATTATCATTATTATCCCGTACAGCGTTTATATAAATCTATACAAATAGATTCTGGATTACTCTGATAACTTATAATGGAAGAAATGTCTAAGAAAAATAAGGTAGATAAAAAAAAAAGTAACAAGGAAAGTAAGAAGAATAAAAGTTAGATCTAAGCTGCGGCTAATAGAAGAAAATAGAATAAGTAATGTAACAGATAATTAGTAATAATAAGAATAAAAAATAATACAAAAACAAATAGAAAATATAGTTTTTGTTCTAATCTCACTCAAGACATGTCACAGATGATTTTGTACTTACAATTGTTTGCAACTGATACAGTGATAACCAGAAAACAATGGAATAGGAAGACAAGAATATATTTAACCCGACCCCTTTCACCCTTTAGACTAAATTTTAAAATGAGCGTGTATACGGGTTCGAAATCGAAAGCAAATAAATGGCTTAGAATATTGCTGCAAAATTTACATAGCTCTGAATCTGTGTGAGTTTGTAATGTAAAATTGTCGAGGAGATTATTTAAGAAATGTATGCCGCGTAGATTAAAGACGATCTTTTTTTGACGGATTCCAGGATATTATGATGATTTCTGACCTGACAACAGTATGGAGATGCATAGTTCCAATCATCTTTACTATCAGTGTATCCAGGCATGCGAACATATCCATATCCGAGCTGGTGGATATATCCTCCAGCTGGTCCAGGATACTCTGCAAACCCCTGATATCCTTCTCCTTCTCCTTGAGGAGATATCTCCTGGAAACCAACCAGGAGAGCCAGGACGGTTTCAGCAGGTTTAGCTCCATGTACAGCTCGTTAGAGTTGAGATTACTCTTGGCAAAGATTTGTTGGATCTTGGATGCAAACTTGGTTTTTAGTCCTTTAGCAATGTTAAGAAAAACGTTCTTGTCTTGAGAATCTAGATGCGCCAGTAGTATTCCACTCATGGATACAAGCTTTCTAACCAAACCAAACCTTCAGATTTAATTAATTGCGGAATCTAAATCATAATGTCCCAGTAATCTAACCAATTTCACCAGTTAAATAATGAACCAAGGCTGCGTAATTTTATGAATTCCCCTTGGTTGGGGGGGGGGGGGTTTGATTTTTGAAGAAATTTTAGATAAAATATGAAAAATTTGAAATATCAAAAGGTTTTGATACTTGATAATTTTGAACATAGTTGATAATTTTGGAAATAGTTGATGATTTTGAACATAGTTGATAATTTTGAAAATAGTTGATGATTTTGAACATAGTTGATAATTTTGAACATAGTTGATGATTTTGAACATAGTTGATGATTTTGAACATAAATGATAATTTTGAACATAGTTGATGATTTTGAACATAGTTGATAATAGTTGATAATTTTGAACATAGTTGATAATTTTGAACATAGTTGATAATTTTGAACATAATTGATAATTTTGAACATAGTTGATGAAATCTAAGGTTAGGTTTCCTGATATCCGTCATATCTTCGCCCTTCTCCAGCTGAGTCTGATAAAGTTTCAGGATGGATGAAGAAATATTCTCAACCAGGTTTCTCCGTCCATCCAGTAGGTAGTAGAGTACAGGATACGAGACATCCCGGTTATCCTACAAACTACCACGTTTCAACATGTATTTCAAGGAAGCAAAGTCAAAGTTGCAACCCCGTTTTATCGGAATTTGAAAAGTGAAGAAATAAATTTTAACTAAAAATGTTTAAAATAAAAATGGCAACAACCTTGTTCTCCGTTCTCCTGTAGTGCTTCCACCACAATTCAAAATCCTTTTGACATATTTTGACGAGAAGTGAGAGCATGATACCGGAGTGGTGACCGGAGCCCCTGGAGACACGGTTGATGATCCCGGAGAAGAATCTCCAGCAGGATTGAATATCCTGGTTGTTCTCCAGTTCAAACCTCTCAAACTGATCCAGGTTCTCATGATCTCTTAAAGAGAATATAATTGTAATTAAAGGTGACACTCTAAGCCCGATTCACAACCCGATTTACCCGATTTACCCTTTCTCTGATATAATATCATTTTATTCACTTGAAAGTGTTTAATTCTACCCATTTCATTCATTGTAATTGTAAACAAAAAAACCGCAAGTCATCATCATAGAAAAACATTTAAGTGAAGAGAAATCATTGATATTTCATTCATTCTTTTAAGAGTTCCGTTGTGGATCAGATATGCCACTCTCTGGTTTAAAATTACGTTTACATTCCTTAGTAAAGGATATTTTTGTAATATTAAATACTTAACCATTGTTTCAATATTTTAGAACAAAATATTTTAACTTGATTTAATAACGTTTTACCTAAGAGCTGAGAGGATAAGGTTTAACCAATCTTCTCTTATCATATTCTCTTTACCAAGATGAAGAAGGAGAAACTAAAAGATCAATTAGGTTCAGGTTTCTCATGGTTTCGGTTTCTCCAGGTAGGGTGATACATACAAGGTTCCGGTTTCTCCAGGAAGGGAGATATATACAAGGTTCAGAGTTCTCCAGGTAAGGGGGATACATACAAGGTTCAGGGTTCTCCAGGCAAGGAGATTTACAAGGTTCAGTATTCTCCAGGTAGGTATATATATACAAGATTCAGGGTTCTCCGGGTACGGAGAGATATACAAGGTTCGGGGTTCTCTATGTAGGGAGTTACATAAATGGTTTAGGGATCTCCAGTAAGGTAGAGACATACAAGGCTCAGGGTTCTCCAGGTATAGAGTTACATGCAAGGTTTGGGGTTCTCCAGGAATGAAGATAAATGCAAGGTTTAGGGTTCTCCAGGTAGGGGTATACATACAAGGTTCAGGTTTATCCAAGTAGGAAGATATATACAAGGTTCAGAGTTCTCCCGGTAATGGGGATACATATAAGGTTCAGGGTTCTCCAGGTAAGGAGATACAGGGTGTCACACGAAACATGACAGTAGCAAGACGAAATAAAGGTCGTCTTTGATCGTAAAGATAACTTGTGGCATCTATTCGTCAGCCTAGTTTTAGAAATAAAATTCCAAAATTTCCAAAATGTGGTCTGCCTGTGTGTGCTTTCAATATTTCGACAATTTTGGTTTTTTTTTTAACAGTAAAATCTGAATGAAATTCTCAATATCTCTGGTAATATTGACAGCACAAAAAGGCAGACCACATTTTGGTAATCCCAGAACTAGTAGAATTTTGAGGTTATTGTTTCAATAATCATACATGTGAAAGTAGGTTGACGAATGAATGTAACAAATAAATTAAAAGTTCTTAGACAACTTTCAAGTCGTCTTGCTACTATTATGTTTCGTGGGACACCCTGTACATACAAGGTTCATGGTTCTCCAGATAGGGAGATAAATACAGGGTTCAGGGTTCTCTAGGTAGGAGGATACACACAAGGTCAAGGTTCTCTAGGAAGGAAGAAACATACAAGGTTTATGGTTCTCCAGGTAGGGAGAAACATACAAGGCTCAGGGTTCTATTGGTAGGGAGATATATACAGGGATCAGGGTTCTCCGGGAAGGTAGATACATACAAGGATTAAAGTTCTCCAGGTAGGGAGATACATACAAGGCTAAGGGTTCTCTAGAAAGGGAGATACATACAAGGATTAGAGTTCTCCAGGTAGGGAGAAACATAGAAGGCTCAAGGTTCTCTAGGAAAGGAGATATATACAAGGATTAGGGTTCTCCAGACAGGGAGAAACATACAAGGATAAGGGTTATGCAGGTAGGGAGATACATACATATCTTAGGGTTCTCTAGGAAGGGAGATACATACAAGGATTAGGGTTCTCCAGGCAGGGAGAAACATACAAGGCTCAAGGTTCTCTAGGAAGGAAGAAACGTACAAGGCTCAGGGTTCTCCAGGCAGGGAGATACATACAAGGCTCAGGGTTCTCTAGGGAGGAAGAAACATACAAGGATTAGGGTTCTCCAGGAAGGGAGTTACATACAAGATTCAAGGTTCTCTAGAAAGGTAGATACATACAAGGCTCAGGGTTCTCTAGGAAGGGAGATAAATACAAGGATTAGAGTTCTCCAGGCAGGGAGATACATACAAGGATTAGGGTTCTCTAGGAAGAACAAAAAACATACAAGGCTCAAGGTTCAATAGGAAAGAAGAAACATACAAGGATTAGGGTTCTCTAGGAAGGGAGAAACATACAAGGCTCAAGGTTCTCTAGGAAGGGAGAAACATGCAAGACTCAGGGTTCTCTAGGAAGGGAGATACATGGATTAGGGTTCTCCAGGTAGGGAGAAACATACAAATCTTAGGGTTCTCTAGATACAAGGATTAGGGTTCTCTATGAAGGGAGAGGCATACAAGGCTCAGGGTTCTCTATGAAGGGAGAAACATACAAGGCTCAGGGTTCTCTATGAAGGTAGATACATACAAGGTTTAATGGAACCAGACATAAATGAAAATATGAATATTGAATGAAAAAGAGAAGACGACAGTAATAATGATAATTAGCTTAAATAGCATAAACACAGCAATTGTGCAGTGTACACAGACCCATTTCACTTATAGTTGATTTTCCAGCTATCGCTAAAACTATTTGTTTGATAATATAATAGAACATGTATTCAATTAAAGAATAAAAGATCCTGACCTGGTCCAAATATTGATAGCTCTTCATGGCGACCTTGAGGGACTTCTGGTTCATGATGAACTCCCTCATGATCACATTGATGATTGAGCTGGTGGGGTGGGAAGACAGGCTCGTAAAGGATTTCAAATATTCGAGGATTTCTAATAAACCCTCAATTAATATTCTTTATGTTGTATCCATGCTTATTAAATACAGATTACTAACAACTTTTTAAGGGTTTGTTTTATGAAATAGAGATTTAGTTCTAACTTTTCTCGTTAAACCTTTTTTGAATTTTTTCTTTTGAATGTTAATACAACTTAACAATGCTATTTTAAAAAGCACATAATAATGTTCAAATTAAAAATAAATGAGGTTGCAAAGATATAGGGATTTAAAAATTTACCTCAAATTTTGACAAGGAAACTCATTTTAACCACAGGAATGTCCTTAGCTTGGCTTTAAAGTTCTAACTTTGATGAGTTGATTTATATAAAGAAAACTTGGTATCCAGACAAAGCTGGGTTTCGGAGCTAATCATTCAATGAAAAGGGAGTTAAGACGCTCTTGGGCACAGAAGAATATTGATGAGGTTTCCTAGGAAAGCAACATAGTTGTTAGCCTCGTCCTCCAGAGTAATGTTAACAGCCTCCCTTTCATTATCCTCGTCACTACTGTACTGCAACCTCGCATCCTCACTCTGTTTACAAACACGGAATTTTAAACACAAAAAGCATGAAAAAATACACAATCAGAAAGACTGAAACTAAAAATGTCCGAAAATAATTGAGAAATTGAATATAAAGAAAAAAATTATCTTAAAGAGCTTGCTTCAAGCTTCACTAATTTTTTATCAAATAAAAAATGTTCAAGTTTTTCCTTCTTTTTTTTTTCTAGATTATTTTTATGTTGAAACTGAATAAAGTGAATACAAGATGGTTTCTATGCTGATTAAATTCCTTGTTCTCCATATATCTATTATTGAACTCTTCTTGGACATGAGATCCAACAGGACGGGATTGTATATCCTTTACTCCAGACTCCTTGTTCTTATCATACCTAGAGAATACAGTCCTACAAACCACATCACAAGGTTAAGATGACTTTATTAAATTAAGAATGATTTGTGGTTCTACAGTTTGTGATAGACGTTTGAATATTTTAACTTTGACTCTTGAAATTCTGCATTTTATTTTAGGTATTTGGCCGGAGCTGAGTTTCTAAAAGCTTAAAGGCAAGACTCGAGCATTGGTTGAACTTGGGTTTTTTTAATACTTCCGAGGCTCCAGTCTCCAAAGACTGGGGATCGTAAATTTCTTGAAAACTATTATATTTTTACATTTAAAATCTCAAGAATAGTCTGTAGTGTTAAAATGGTTAGATTTAGAAGATAAACACACAATGGAAATAATAGACATTTGTAAAGTTTGAGTTTTAAAAATCCAATCTAGATCTATCAGCTAATTATAAAGAGCATTTTGCATATTAGTCAAATCACAACCAATTAGAATCATTGGATCTAAATGTAAAGCTTGGGCTTTAAAGTAGTTTCTGTACAAGATCCTCAGTAAATATTCTAACCTGGATGTTCTAGGGGTAGCGTGAGAAATCTCAATACATTCATCAGTTGTGATCTGACGCTCCAGTAGTGTAGACAGGATTCTATTCAGCAGCTCCGTATTCTCCTTCTTCTCTGGATCCTGGAGATTTAATCTCTCCATAGCTAGGACGGGAGGAGGTATCGGCTCGGTAAGAACTAGTTTAGGATCTGAGTCTCGGGATGGTTCCGAACCTCTACTCTCTAAAACAGGGAAGATGTAATAAAAAGAGTAAACTAAAATTCAATCTTAGCAATACATAATATAGTAAGCTATAATATTTACATAGATCTTATATTTATATATTTTGCAAAATTCTTTTGTAAACCTAATATTGAAAGTGGTGTTATTGAAACAATAATTAATAAATTTACATAGTCCTAGCATTTGGAAATGGACTACCTTTTACTGCTTTAAAATTCTCAGAGATAACTAGAATTTTGTTAAGACTTCAATTTAAAGAATGTTACCAAAATTATCTTTAAGTTCAATTTTTTGTCCTTTGATATCTATCAATGATTAAAGCCGATCTAAATCGATTCAACTATCATGTTTAGAAGGACCCCCTCTGAACAGTAATATAAAACTAGATTAATGGTTTAGTTACCTCTGCTCTCTCTAGCAAGTCGAAGTTGTCGTTCTCTTTCTTTCTCCTCCTTCTGCAACCTTCTCTCCTCCTTCTTTTTCATTTCATGAAGTTTCTCCTTGAAGATCCTGGAGCGCCTAGATCTCACCTTGTTCTGTGGTTGGGAAACCTTTGTTTCCAGGATCTCAATCTCATCTTCTTCTGCGGACTCTGGTCTGGACGGAGAAGGTTTCCCCAGGTCAGGACGGGAGGAAGGATCCTGGTTGGGTTTATCCTCTCTACATGGTTCATCTTCTTCGCTGTAATAATTAAAATATCGCCATTTCTACAGTCAATGTGGAATAGGAGGCTCACGTATAAAAGGTAGAATTATAAAAGGTAGAATGACAAAAGGTAGAACGATCAAAAGGTAGAACGATCTAAAGGTAGAACAAACAAAAGGTAGAACAATCAATAGGTAGAACGATCAAAAGGTAGAACAAACAAAAGGTAGAACGTTCAAAAGGTAGAATTACAAAAGGTAGAACGTTCAAAAGGTAGAATTTTTTATTTTTGAGAAGGAAGAAAATTTTCTAAATTTTTACAAGAAAATCCGCGAATTTTTAAAAAAAAATTCACAAAACTGCATTTCTCGGTTAAATTTAGCATGGAGAGGTTGGTCAACTATGGGGTGAATCAAAAGAAGAAAAGAACATTGATTGACGACCAGAGATATGAATATAATTTTGAGAAAATTAAGAATGGAACAGAGTTTCTGGCCAGTGGTGCAAACAGCACTGAAAACGCTCGCAAACAAAAACAGAGAGATAAACGTACTAGGATTAAAAACATGACTGAAATGTATAATAATATCCCTGCACCAGACTATATGAAACAGCTTGCCACAATTATTGGCATGGATTAAAATCATGTACTTTTGTAAAATAAAAATTAGTCCTAATAAATAAGAAACATTATTTTTTGACTTTTTTGGACATTTAAAAATAAATTTAATTTGGAAAATTCTACCTTTTGAATGTTCTACCGTTTGTAATTCTACCTTTTGAACGTTCTACCTTTTGTTTGTTCTACCTTTAGATCGTTCTACCTTTTGATCGTTCTACCTTTTGTCGTTCTATCTTATGATCGTTCTACCTTTTGTCATTCTACCTTTTGTAATTCTACCTTTTGTAATTCTACCTTTTGTAATTCTACCTTTTGTAATTCTACCTTTTGTAATTCTACCTTTAGATCGTTCTACCTTTTGTAATTCTACCTTTTGTATTTCTACCTTTTGTACTGGAGCCGAATAGGAAGACGACATTTGAGCATTGTGTTTGTTAAGGCAAGTAGTTTTACTAAAAGGTTGCAAGTCATCTTACTAAGAAAACAGGAATGTGAACACTGCATAATTGCTGTGTATCTTGTTCATAACAGTCGTCTTTATATTTTACAGTTTTGTCATGGTTTCACTGTAGAACAAATTTTCTAAGTAAAGCTTAGGTGACTAAGGTACTTAATTTATAGGTAAGAAAATGAGATCTTTTCAGTAAAATTGAAAAATATGTTGTAATAAATAAGGGTCTGTTTTTTACCTTTCCTCATCCTCACTTGATTCTCTTCTTTCTTCATGATCCGACTCATCACTGTAAGTTTTCATATATTATTTAAACAGTCTTTTTAAAGTAAATGTTGTTAGGGGCTGCTTTGCAAGTTCTTGAAGCAGCGATCAATATATCTCCGGGTTACAATCCACCTACCACATGCCAACCCAGCCAAAACCTAGGATATAACAGGAGTGTATATTCTCCCTTTTTAACCCCCCCCCCCATTAAGGTAAGGGGGCCAAAAGAATTAAAAATTTGACAAAACAGGGAAGAGAAATTTTCTTCCCCAAACTAGCCTTTAAAAAATTTAAAAAGGGGAGAAAATTCCATTTTGCTTGAGTTTTCTTTCCAAGTTTTAAATATTACAAGTCCTATGTGAGACATTACATAATCAGTAATTTTTAGACTCTGTTGACCTCCGTGTGCGGAGCACTGAGGTCATGACGTTTTGACCTCTGCAAAGAGGTTGCTATTTTAAAATTACAAAAACTTTTTTACTTTTTGAGATATTGACCTAATTTTAACGCCAGTAAATAGGTAATGAATAAGGCTTTTCTTTGTATGTTCATAAATAATCGATAAAATTAATTTTAGAGGTTAATATTTTCAAATAAAAACTTGTTTCTCCAAAAAAAGATATCGTATACTTCGATTTTTGCGTAACTCGTTTGTTTATTGCCTATTTCAATAAATAAATTAGATCAATTTTATTTTATGATCTATGCTGAAGAAATCCCCAAGTCACTTCGCCACAATTGAAATATATCAATCTCCAGTCATAAAAAACGAGAATATCTCCAAAATTTGTATTAAAAAATGCTATCGGTACCGTTGTGAATCTTGCATGCAACACTATCAATGGAGGGTTGCCTAAATACCTGGATTGTAAAGTAATCTCTTCGGCGGCCTCAGAGCGGGGTTTATAATAAACCCTCCTTCTCCCGCCCTCCGCCAGGAGTCTCTGCTCAAGAATCTGAATATCGTCTTCATCCGAATCTTCCAACTCAACAACATTACTGTCCAGGACGGTGGTACTGATGTTGGTTCTCTGTTTTTTCGTCCCGGAATTTTCCTCATCCTGAGCCCGTTTCCGAGGGGTGGCTGTGCTAGCCTTGGATTCTGGAACCTTCTCAGGGATTCGAAGATCTCCGTTTTCTCTGGCCTGCTCTAGGACCCGGGGGTTGAAAATATTGTACAAATGAGGTATAATCTTTTTGGTGGGGTCACTCAGAAAGTCGAAAAAATATTTGTAGTACAGGTAATGAAGGACTTCTCCTTTCTTGGGATCCCACACCTGTCTCGAGTAATCATGCCATTGCTGGAGAGATAGTCTTGTCAAGATAATAAACTTTGTTTATAATTAGATAAAAATAAAGTGATAAAGAGCAACTTAGAATGTCTAATACAGTTTAACCTAAATATTTGGAGTTTTCGAAAGAACTTAAAAAATGTCGTTTTCTAAACATAATTACTTATTTGCTTGGTGGTGATAATGGAATGTTGCAGATATTTAGCATTCTAATTAAATAATCATATGGACCTTCTTAAAACTGTTCCAACATATTTCACGGCTATTTTTTTAATTTCTTTTTTTATTCCCTAAGACTTTATCTTTAAACTACCAAGATTTAGGTATAATAGTTTATAAAACCCATTGCAAATTTTTCAAGACGACATTTCATAAAGCAATAGGTTTAGAAGACGACATTTTATAAATTCTTTCGATGTCTCCAAAGTTCTGGGTTAAACTGTATAATTTCACCCAAGGACATTTTAACAATTTTCTTCGATTTATCAAATTTCTTTGGAAGTTCAAAATAGGTGATAATATATAAAGTTTTTTTTTCAAATGTTGTGAAGACAATCTCCTTGAACTTTGTATATCTCTCATCCCGTTCACTGAGAATAAATGGGTCTACAACTATGTGAGTTATCTCAGAAGGTCCTGAAACCAAAGTTTTATTATAATCCTTTTTATGAATTTGGACAATGCACAATGCACATAGGAAAATATCTCATCCTCTAGGAATTGAAATTTTTGGATTAAGTTAATTGTGAAATTTGAATATCTGGAGTGAATCACCCACTCCCACACCATACCTAAACATGAAAAAATAAAATAAACTAATTCTGAAAAAGATCTGAAAGACAAAAATGAGAAGTCCAAAGAAGTTACGTTGCATGCCGTGTTGAATTACAAGACAGAAAGAGAGAGTCTTTTCTAGCCGCAACGCTCGGCCCAGAAAGTGTCTTAACCTAACCTTAACCTAACCTTAAAACATATCCAAGTCTCTCTTTCTCGTAATTCAACGCGGCCAGTGCGCGGAATTCCTTTGCGCAACTGCCCTAAAATAAGTTCAGGGTCGGGTGAGCGCTCTGCCGCAAATCCATTTAGTGAAGTTATTTGCGGGTCGGAAGCTCTGCGCGCGCAGATTGCCTTTCCTCCCTCTTCCTTTACCTGGTTTATATTTGATAAGTTGATCCAGATCCCAATCCTCCAGAACTGTTCCACCTCCTGCTCTCACAACATCGATATAAGCTTTCCTCTTCCCCTCCTGTTCAACTAGAAACAGCACCTTGTAACCCTGGAAACAGCCACCGTTTGCAAAATATCTTTTCCTGAAAAATATATAAGGTTGAATCTCTTTTTTTATTGCTTAGTTGGTTTGTTTGAATCCAACATCCAGCCAGGAAAATGTTTTTTGTAGGACCCGCAATTTACATTTCACATTTCACATAGCCACAAGAAAGATTTTAGCTGGTTGAAATCAAAAGATACCGTCTAAAAAAATACGATTTAAAAAAATGAGAAACCAACCAAATAACAGAAAAATATTTTCTAAAATGTACAATATGGCAAACAAAAATTATTACAGGTGTAACATAAAAAAAATTATTACAAGAAATGTGGTACTAATCTAGTATTTAAAAAACCAATAATTTTTTTCCTAGTTTTACTACCTGTGACATAAAACTGATTGATCACAGATGAATGGTTTAGTATTGATCCAGGATCCGTTCTTGAAGCAGCGATCAATATATCTCCGGGTTACAATCCACCTACCACATGCCAACCCAGCCAAAACCTAGGATATAACAGGAGTGTATATTCTCACTTTTTAACCCCCCCCCCCCCCATTAGGGTAAGGGGGCTAAAAGAATTAAAAATTTGACAAAACAGGGAAGAGAAATTTTCTTCCCCAAACTAGCCTTTAAAAAATTTAAAAAGGGGAGAAAATTCCATTTTGCTTGAGTTTTCTTTCCAAGTTTCTTAAAAATCAAAAGAAAGAAATCAAATTAAAATTGAATTCTCTTCCACACAAGTTTTCTGGAAAGTCAGAGTAGAAAAGACAATTGTCTTGGAAAATGAAAAAAAGTGAGAAAAAAAGTTTAAAAATATTAATTTTCTTCCACAAAAGTTACCAAAATATCTGATAAGGGAAGAGAATTCAATTTAGCAGATATATAATATTTTCTTTAAATGAATTATTTTCCTTTATAGAAGAATTGTATTAATTTGTTACTTGAACTTCAAACTCTTTTTTGGGGGTTTACTTCCAAAGGATTAATTGGATACTGAGTGTCCAGCATCATATTGGATCATGCATAGCCCTAAATTCGGGACAAAAATGACGATTAGAAAAATTAAATAATTTTAAAAAAAATTGTATAACGCTTTCATGTTAAGATTTTTGAGCAGAAAGTACAAGATTCTCAGAGTTTTCTGTGCGTATTTCTGTGCGTATTTTTGACGTTAACGCTTCAAGATAATCCAATATGATATGGTACGCTCTGTACTAAAACATCTTTTATATTATTGGAAAGCCATAATAAATAAATAAATAAAAAAATATTAACCCCTTAATCTCAAACATCATTTTTTCAGATATAGATTTTAAAGGTATGTCTGTGAAAAATTAAATTTAAAATTACGTTTAAGATTTAATTCTGTTGAATAAGGGTGATATCGAAAATGACAAAACCTTTTTAAACCAGCAACATATTATACAGCAGGAAATTAAAAGAAAAATATTGTAAAAAAATTAAAACTTTATTATTTAGGGCTAAAAATTTAGTTTTTAAGATACAAATATCATTCCAAAAACCGGGTTTTGCTTATAATTTGCTTCATTTTAGAAGATTTTTTACTTATTTATTGTTTCTGAACTCAAAATGGATATTTTGATACAATTTTTTTCTCTCTTGATTACAATAGTGATTTGATTTACACAAAAAAAGCAAAAATCTGAATGAGTTAAAAATCATAAAAAAAATCTTTAAAAAAAAATATATATCAAACTTTAAAACTGGTGCAAAGTGGATTTGAGCATTTATATAAAAAAGTGCCAAGTAGTTTCACCTAAATTTTAAACATATTTATCTCTACCTTGACATTGAAGAGTTGATAATTGGCCGCAATAACATGAGTACATTTATCACTCCAGCTTGCTGAGTTATCCACCTCCCCACCCAGGCTTAGTATCCTGGAGTACTATAGTTTATAACCTGGAGTACTCAGGCTTAGTATCCTGGAGTACTATAGTTTATAACCTGGAGTACTCAGGCTTAGTATCCTGGAGTACTATAGTTTATAACCTGGAGTATTCAGGCTTAGTATCCTGGAGTACTATAGTTTATAACCTGGAGTACTCATGCTTAGTATCCTGGAGTACTATAGTTTATAACCTAGAGTAATCAGGCGTGTCGGATTCAAAACAGTACTCTTTAATAACTGAATCAGAATGTGACCGACTTATTCATCTACAGAAGTGCAAGTAACTTTTATCGCTAATTTTAATAAAAAAAAAATTTATTCTAAAATCCGCGCTAGACTGTGCGCTAATGTGCACACTTACTTTACTAAAAAAAAATTTTACAATAAAAATAATGATCAAAAATAATTTTTTTTCTTCGTTTTATAACTAGGACTAATTCACAGCAAGAATGATTCATTGGTTTAGATTTTACATAGGTCAAAGGATTCATATCAAAACTTAATTGATAAGCTTACTTTTCCGTGAGTTCTTCTTTCTCTCTAGTTTTGGCTTGCGTAGAGAAACCTGCAAACATAAAAACCCTTGATTCATTCTGATCATCCTCAGCATTCATCCTTGATCTGAAAAAAAATTACTGATTATAATAATTAATTGCATAACAGAAGAGTGCGATTAATCGATGCGATTGACCGATTACTGGATAAGAACAGAGTGTAATTGACCGATTGTTGTTTAAGAAAAGTGTGATTGCAGATTGTTGGAATGAGAAGTTTGTGATTGACCAATTGTTGGAATGAGAAGTGTGTGATTAATCGATTGCCAGATAAGAAAAGTGTGTGATTGACCAATTGCTGGATAAGAAAAGAGTGTAATTGAACGATTGTTGGTTAAGAAGTGTGTGATTGACCGACTGCTGGAATGAGAAGTGTGTGATTGACCAATTGCTGGATAAGAAAAGAGTGTAATTGACCGATTGCTGGTTAAGAAAAGTGTGTGATTGACTGATTGCTAAGGGAACACAGTGTGATTGACCGATTGCTATAAATACACAGAATATATTAATTTAGGTCGTCTTTACAGTATTATCCTATACAGATAACCCTGTATTTAATTTCTCCCCACTCGTCTCATAGCATTTTCTTTTCATGTAAAAGTCTGATACTAGAAAATAGGAAACTACGATATTTTCATCATTTTTGCTCATATGAAGAATATAAGAGTATTGTTGTTAACTAAACATGATAAATGAAACTACATTTACAATCCTTTAAAAAAAAAATAAAAACTAAAAAAATCATCTTAATAATATCAGAGTTTGTACTTAATATCACAGTTTTATAAATTCGAATTTTTGTTAATTTATATAACAATATATTTCTCTGCATACATCCTAGCTAACTCAAGGTTCCCTGAAGACTGGTAGATCAAGGAGATATTGAACCCAATCTCGTGTTTCAGGTCGAATATAGTATCGGAGCTGTCCGGGACGGATGGGCCGAGCTCCAGGGCCTTCTTATAGTAGAAGAGTGCTGCTGGGAGCAGGTTTAGTTGATGCATTGATCTACCAAGGTTATAGTAAACCTCCTGGAAAATAAAAATAAATCATATTCTTTCCCAAAACAAGGTGTCATAAAAATTACCACAAAAAGTAAAATTTTAAAAGATAAAAATTACAAAAAATGAATTAAATTGCAGGATGTAAATTCCCATTAATATACTTTCTCATTATCGATTATAAAGTGTAAATTACATTTTTTTTAAATCTGTAAAAAATAATCTTGTTTACAAAAATCTTTTACAAAACAAAAATGTCGGAAATTTCGCTTTTTATCGCTAAATCTTAAGAAACCTTTAACAGATAGTTTTTTTTTGCCATAATTAGAAAGAACCGGAATTAATTGACAATTAATCAGACGACTTTTCCATCGTCTCAGATCTTTGAAATAGTTTACTGCATTCATTTGTGAATCTAATTTTACAAATATACAAATAAATGATTGATGAAACGCGCGTTGATCACAAAATAGACCTAGTTCAGTTCTGCCATTTCCAAAATTGGTCTGCCTTTTTTGTGGGTTCAAAATTGCCCGAGATATAAAGAGTTTTGGTTAGATTTTATTAATGTTTAATCTAACGAAAATTTTCTAATTTTTAATGAAATCATATTTCCTGTGATTTTAAACGCACAAAAAAAGCAGAACACATTTTGGAATTGGCAGGACTAGAGCTATTTTGAGACGATGGAAAAGTCGTCTGATTAATTGTCAATTAATCCCGGTTCTTTCTGGTTAGGACTGTAGTATACCTGGCATTCCCCTCTCAGCTCTTTGTAGGTATTCAAGAAAGCACAGGCTTGTACAACTAAAAATAGTAATTTTAAATCAATCAATCAATCAAAAAGTAAATCATGCTATCAATCAATCAACCAACCAGTGAATTATTAATCATTCAATCAGCCAACAAGTAAATTGATCTAACCAACAGAAAGCTAATCGATAAAAAATCTAGAGAAATAATTAACATCAACCAATCAACCAGTAAATATATCAACCAATCAATCAACCAACTAATCAACCAGTAAATATATCAACCAATCAACCAACCAGTAATTTAAATAAATCAACCAACCGATCAGTAAATTCATCAACCAACCAACTGGTGAATATTTTAACAAGTAAATCTTTCAACCAACCAACCAGTAAATTAAGCAACCAATTCAAAAATTATCCAGTATTTCGTAGAACTAATCTTTTAGTAAATTTTTGATTAAGCAAATAAAAAAAAACATATTTTTGTTGAATTTAAAGCTGAATTAAACTATATATTGTTTACCTAAACTATATATTGTTTACCTAAACTATGTTTCTTGCCGCTAAACTTCTGACACGCCATGTGACAGAAGGTTAATCCCAGCATTAGGGCAATCAGGGGATTAGATCTATCCTAGAATTAGAGGATTAGATCTATCCTAGAATTAGATGATTAGATCTATCCTAGACACAGAGGATTATATCCATCTTAGAAATAGAGGATTAGATCTATCCTAGACACAGAGGATTAGATCTATCCTAGAGTTAAAATATTAGATTTATCATTGAAATAGAGGATTATATCTATCCTAGACACAGAGGATTATATCTAACCTAGAAATAGAGGATTAGATTTATCCTAGAAATAAAGGATTAGAAAAAGAGAATTAAGCCTATCCTAGAATTTAGAAATAAACCTAGAAAAAGAGGATTAAAGCTGTTCTTGAAATAAAGGAAAAGATCTATCCTAGAAATTAAGGATTAGATTTATCCTAGAAATAGAGGATTAGATCTTTCCTAGAAACAGAGGATTAGATCTAACCTAGAAATAGAGGATTAGATCTATCCTAGAAATAAAGGATTAGATCTATCGTAGAAATAGAGGATTAGATCTATCCTAGAAATAGAGGATTAGATCTATCCTAGAAATAGAGGATTAGATCTATCCTAGAAATAGAGGATTAGATCTATCCTAGAAATACAGGATTAGATCTATCCTAGAAATAGAGGATTAGATCTATCCTAGAAATACAGGATTAGATCTATTCTAGACATAGATGATAAGATCTATCCTATATAGCTAGTGCTAGATGTATTCTAATAGATAAGAAGGATCCCTCTATATAATATATATAAGTACAGGGTTACCCAAAAATAATGAGATAACTCTAGGTCATATTCACTTACTTCTTTTTTTGACAAAACATTTAGCACACCTTTATAAGAAACAGTTTAAAAGGTTAACTAATTAATTTTAAGAACGTTATATATTTAGAGTTTCAGGTCGACATTCAAGTCTTTTCCTTAAGGTGTAACCCTGCATTGCGATTTAAAGAAAGAAAAGATATTTTAGGCCCCCCAGGGGCGTATTAAGGAATTTGTTCAGTTGAAGACTAAATCCCCCTGAAATAGCACTTTTCAAAGGAGTGTTTTTGCCCAATATCCCCTACCCTGTATACGCCCCTGAATTGCCCCCCCCCCCCCCNCTGTTTAAAAGGACATGATGCAACCAAACTGTTTAAAAGGACATGATGCAACCAAACTGTTTAAAAGGACATGATGCAACCAACCTGTTTAAAAGCCGACATATACTCTCCTAACGAATACTTATATGTACCAGCAACAAGGCAGTTATGCCCATTAAGTATACCCAGAGCCAGGTTCTCGGGGTTACGCGACATTAGACGCATTAGAAACCGGTTGTGACGAACATCATCTGCGCGCATTATTACTGAAAATTTGAAACAGTTAAAATTACAAAAATCATTCTCGTCGTTCTAACGAGTTCGCTGATCCAAATTTGAGGCAAAGGGGTAAAAGGGTTTACGAGATATGAAGCAACCAGCGATTACTACATTAAAATTCACCCAAATCTTTGAAACCCAGTTCCCCCAAATTTGGAAAATCATTTCTCAACAAATTTTTTAAATTCCCAACGACTCTGCTCTGAATTGACCCAGAAGCTGTAAGTTAATGGTACTAACCTAGGTTAAACATATTCCAAATAGCTGAATTTTTGACATCTTTTATTATAAGATCACGAACAGAATTGTAGGCATGGTAGGAATCTCCGTTAAAAAAAGAACCTACAAAAAGATTTATTTCAGATTGTGTTCAAAACTTGCAATGCCCTATCGGATATAAAATTTCAAGTTTTTTTATTTCCTGAACTACCTACCTACCTACCTACCTACCTACCTACCTACCTACCTACCTACCTATTGGTACCTACGAGTACCAAATACGTACGTACCTGCAAATATGTTCCTACAATGTACTTTGAAGTAGCCCAAATATCTTTTATCTACCTAGAAAGTATCTTAAAGAACCCCTAGTATCTTACTTATACCTACCTTAAAGTACCTTAAAGGACCCCTAGTATCTTACTTATACCTACCTAGAAAGTACCTTGAAGTACCCCTAGTGCCTTATACCTACTTAGAAAGTGCATCGAAGTACCCCTGGTATCTGATACCTATCCCTAGAAAATAACTTGAAGTACCCCTAGTATATTATGCCTATCAAGAATTTACCTTGAAGTACCCCTAGTATCTGAAACCCACCTAGAAAGTACATTGAAGTGCCTCTAATATCCGGTACCTACCTAACAAGCACAAGAACTCGCATTCCTTATGAATCTCCTGACTCCGGGCGAATACCGGAGACCCCAGCGCGGAGAAAACAAGTCTCTGTAACTCATCATATTTCTCCTGCTGGAAGAGAATATCACAAACCTGACGGAACAATGCAAACTCGTCCTCTAGGTTTACACAGGTACTAAACCAAACCCTTATTTACTAAATACAAATAAAATTACAAATTTATTCTTCAAAAAAACCCGAGAAAATCAGATGTAGAGTGAAACAGACGAATTCTGATGTTTTTACATTTATAATAAATATAATTTTAATTCATAAATATAAAACTTACTAAAGGAATTAAGTCTTTGTCAAGAATATTAATTTATAATCACTATATCTTTGTAACCTGAATGTTGAAACAATTGATATTTCAAACATTGATTACTTGATCTAACAGAATTCATAATTTCAAATGTCCAAGATTTACAATACTGGGTTGCAATGCAAAGTACAGGCATTAGAAAATCAGAGCTTGTGACAAAGACTCAATTCGAATGGTTCCAATGTTAGTTTCATAAATAGTTTTGTTTTCCTTGATTCTTCAAACTCTGGAGTCTCGGTTTCATCTAAGGGTTCTCGTCTAAAGTTTCTAACCTCGGTCAGTGCACGATTTTTACTAGAGATCTTCTTAGCCGAGGATATAGCGTGGAGTTCTTCCTTGTTTCTGATAACAGGAGTATTTATTTTGGTGAAAAATCCCCCTGGTATCAAATNATACATACATACATACATACATACATACATACATACATACATACATACATACATACATACATACATACATACATACATACATACATACATACATACATACATACATACATACATACATACATACATACATACATACATACATACATACATACATACATACATACATACATACATACATACATACATACATACATACACCCATACATACATACATACATACATACCTGCTTGAAAGCTAATTCTGCGTCTTCTAACCGGTTTGCTGCCTGGAGACATTCAGCGAACTGTAACCAAACTGCAGCCTCGCTATACCTTGATAACAAAAAGTTTAAAAAATTATTTGAACTTAAATTTGTTTCAATATCGATAATCAAGATCAATATCAATAATTATCCCACTCTAAAAATGAGGGGCATTTGAAAATAAGTTTATACTCCCTTTAAAAATCAAAATAATAAATACTCTAACCTTTCACTGTCCACCAACTTTCTCAGGAATAGAAGCGCGCTCTCATACTCCTTGTTCTTTGTTAGAGCTTCCGATATATCCAGCATCAAATCTCCAAAATCTTCTGGATCAGCTTCAAGGAAAGTATCCAACAAGTCGTTGGTTAAATGCTTGGCCTTGAGGTTGACGAGGATAATGATGAGCTTGCTCTTGATGTCCGCCGGGAGGTTCTCAGGAACAACCAGTTCTAGACATAAAGACGGAGAATTGAAGCGGAGAAGAAAATCCGTGAAAAATAAAATAAAAATCTGCAATCCAGTTCTCTACAAAATAAATTATTTTTAACAGGGTTACCTACAAGTAAAACTAAAAATATATTTATAAAAATTAGCTTTTAACCACATCAAACCACCAATTAAATAAACCTGTAGATTTGTTTGTTTTTAATCTTTGTGAAGAAACAATCTCAAGAACTGACGAGGGTCAACCCAGACCGAAATATACTTTCAATAAATGTGGAACTAACATCTACTTTTTTACTCTACAGAGGTTTGGTCCATCACCATCACCAAATTTTAAATAAACCTGTATAAAAAAGTCGTCTTAAAGTTTTATCCTTTGTAATTAACCCTGATTATTGTTTATTTTCAACATTGGTTTTAAACCTGTGAATGCTGCTAATTGTTCTTCAGGTTCAAGATTACCAAGATTAACATCAGAATTATCACAAGTGAACTGGACCAAACAATGCCTTAATACAAATCAATTAATCAAGTATTCTATCAAGAGGAACTGAATCAAGAACTGACTTTTAAGTACCGAATCAATTACTGAATTAAGTACTAAAAAAGTACTGAATAAAGTTTTGAATCAAGCACTGAATCAAGAACTGAATCAAAACAATGAATCAAGCACTAAATCAAGTTCTGAATCAAGTACATAAATAATACTGAAGAAGGGGTTGAGTTTAAACCAATTTACATAAAAAATTGTTTGGTTGACAAAAAGAAAGATTAAAAATTTATCCCTAAGATGAGAAGTAACTCCAGGAACAGGTTTATATCCTCATCTGTTACATTATCAGGATATCGGGAGAATGCTACAATTAATATTAAAGTGAACAACTTTATGATTTCACGAATGAAAGTTTTAAACATTTTTGCAGGGGTATTGGTAGTTTTAAATTGGCAAGCAAATTTGTACACTAAATTGGTCGGGTTGTCAAAAAGTTGGCATTTATTTTTTTTTACCTAGGAGATGAAAAACCTCTTTAAATAAATTTATTGTTTAGGAAAAAGAAAGAAAAGAGAGGGGGGGAGGTGATTTTTAAAGAAAATATTCCTCTGCTATAATTTGTTTGAAGCAAAGGGTTGGATGATCTGAGGTCTGACCTTATGTGTGGAATATTGTTAATCTTGAATACTTATATCTCGATATCCAAATTAGGCACTTTTTAATTGAGGATTAATGCATGGTCCCTCAATATAAGTTATCCCTGCAGGATTATTAATTATAAATTAAATAAATTACATATTATAGAGCTCAATGCCAAATCCCGAGTATCACAACACAAAAGTTCGTTCAGTAATGTAGAGGATTTTTTTAATAAAATACCTGTAGAAACTCTTCTCCCTGGTCCTCCTTCAAATTTTGAAGCAGCTTCTTGTAGCAGCGCAGAGCTGCTTTTTTATCCCCAAGCTGCTCTAAATATTAACTAAGTTAGTTTTGAAGCAGCCTCTTGCAGTAGTGTAGAGCTGCTTAATTGTCCCGCAGCTGCCATAAACACGGACCATGTAGTGTGCAAAGGTCTTAGAAAATCAATTAAATGACAACACGATGGTGCGATTTTATTTTTTTAGGTTACCGTCATACCCTTCCTCCTCCAAACTTCTTTCTCTTTCCTACCTGCTCCATGACTCAATGTCACAAGAACTATTTGGAGAGGCCTCAAAACGTAGAAACAAAAAAGCAAAGAAGAAAAAACAAAATTGAACAGAAAAAATGGAAAGGAAACTCTCCGATGATAAGCTTTACACTATTAATTTATTCCGTTAGCGAATGGAGACAACATTTGAGATGGGGCTGGGAGACGTTACACCCTGATAGAAAATACACCAGAAATATGGGGTTGTTTGAAGCTAAATCAGCTAGTTCAAATTTAGTTGCTGACACATCTAATGTACTGTAGACAAATTCAAATTAGCCGAAATATGATTGAAAGATGTACAAACAAGAAGAAAATGAAGAACAAGAAATATAGAAATGTCAAAATATTTGCATCTGATATCATATAACTATTTAAAGAATATTGTTAAAAATTTACAATTTAAGTATAAATATGTAAAAAAAAACATATTTTGGATGATTCTCCAGTCCTTACCTAGTAAATTTGAGCGTGTAAAATAGAACTTAGAATTACAGGGATCCGCTTCCAGAGCTTTTCTACAAAAAATCTTTTTCCCACTGGTTTTAAAAAAAAAAAGTTTATTTTGAGCTCTTTAATAGGAGTGAACACTGAACAAATGGAAAAACTTTTAAAATCTTGTTTTTTAAAGATTTTTGCAAGGGTGTATATATTTTAACTATTTAAAAAATAATTTTGAGAGGCTTTTCCCATATAAGAAAACCAAGATGCGAAAAAAATTTCCAGGGGTGGAAATTAATAAAGAAAAAGTATACTTGTAGCAGAAGCAGGCTTGTTGAACATCTCCCTGTTCAAGAGACATATCTGCCAATCTAGACCATTCGTCTGGGTCAGGGGGAGCTAAATATATATGAATATATATATAATTACTTATACAGGATGTCTCAAAAAAAGGGAATAAGGGTCTACAGACTCGTTTAATATTGGAACTTCAATGTTGACACCAATTTTAAAATCTACGTAGTCCCAAAAGGTTATTTTTGAAGTTAGATCAAGGGGACAAAAGTGTCTTTCTGCTAATATAATGGACATTTAGAAAATGATTGAAATAAACTGTAACCTAACATTAATGACAATCTTGAAAATCCGATTACAAACAAACATACATGAGTATCTATGCACAAGAACTGTTGCTGCTATCTAAATCCAGCCTTGCAGAAGTCCTGAACAACAGTTCATTGCCTGGCAGAAATTCTCATAATGGTCCCACCGGGACTGCTGAGAATCAACACAGAAGTAAGTAAGTAAGAAACATGAAGACCCTTATATAAAATTGTGCAAATGGAGATTATTTTTATTTTCACCAATTTTCCTNCCCTTCTCTATCTCCTCCCCCTCCTCGTATATTATCTACCTGTAAACCCTTCTCTATCTCATCTCCCTCCTCGTATAGATTTGCCAGGGCCTGGAAAGGTTCCGGAGCGGACGGATCCTGCCTAAATAGGAAAACGAACTAAAGTCCAGGAGTATACAGCGAGAGCCAGAGAACTTTGGAATAGGAAGACGACTTAAAAACTCGAGTTATGACTCTAAATAGTCCAATGAACATGAGACACAGCAATTGTACAGTGTGAACAGATCCATTTCACTTAATAAGCGATTTAATAAGCGATTTAATAAGTACCTAATAAACCTATTTACTTTGTAACAACATCAAATACAGTCAATTATTACTTTTAAGTCTTAATAGTTCCACAGTTTTTTAGTTTTCACCAAATTTACCATTTTTATCATTTTTTAAATGGAAAAAGGAGAAAAATGAAAATTTGACTTTAAAGTAAGAAAAGACATAATTTCAAGTGACCCAGCTATACTGCAGAACAGTAACTTTTAAACATTTGAATGAATGAAAACCAAGTTTTCTATAAAATTTTTTTGATTATTTTAAATTGTGGCTCTACTGAAAAAATTACTTGCGGATTTTTGCTGCAGACATCTCAGGAATATTTGAGAATGTAACTATTTTCATGATAATACATGTCACACTATAAAAAGAGGGTTGCTTAAACAGATATCCCTATAGCTAAAATATTTCCCCCTCTTATAAATACTTAATCAATTCATTTATTTCCCTATAAACTCATCTTGGGGATCTTTTTGGAAAAGTCTTCCTCCGGAGACTCGCATCCGTCCGAATCCAATTTCGAAGGTTTAGGAGAGACGGGACGAGGAGCTCTGATGAAAATATGGAACTATACTTTTTGTTTAATATTAGTAAGTACTAGCTTAGAAACCAAGCGTTGCTCAGGTTACTCATACTTACTCCCGCCGTTTACCCGCACTTGGTCGATTTTACAAGGAAGCTAATTTTCGAAATAAAAGTTGACCCAGTAAACTCAGAATTTCAAAAACAAACTAAAACATTTCCATGGCTCTTCCGAGTTTCCCAATTAAAATTTGAGGCAAATTGGTCCAGGGGTTCCTGAGTTATGATCGAGACAAACAAACAGACAAGAAGAGATTACAACTTTATATATAGAGAGACAATAGACATGTTCTAATTGTTTATTAAGATTGGTTATTGATGGAAAATAATATAGATTATTAAGTTTTACTAGAAAATGTTATTATTTGAAAATATCGCTTAACCTTTACTGAGAACACTAAATCTAATGTTATAAGATGAAAAAATACTAATTTAGCTTTATTTTGATTAAAGGAACTGTAGACGTAATTTAAAGTTGTCCTCTAATTATTGAGTTACATTTCCCAGTTACAATGATACCCTTTAAACCTTTTTCTAATAAAGGATAAAATGTATCCTTATTTTTGGAGCTAAAAAATTAATTATTTATTATTGTGGTTTTCTTTGAAAGGATTTTTGTTGCCAGGATTTTTTAGAAATCCAAACGTTTTTAGATAAATATCTTTTTCAGTGTTACTCAGATAAAGGTTTAAAGGTTACAGTTCTGAATCGGACACACTCCTCTCCTTAAATGAAAGTGCACCTCAAAATTAATCTAAAGTCCCTTTAAGTAGATCCTACTAAATTGATAAACTGAATTATTTTCCAACCTATTTCTAGTTTTCTTCTCCGGTGGTTTCCAATCCTCATCCATCTCGCTATCATCATTCTCACTCGAGATCTCATCTTCTCCGGTATTAATTTCACTTACAAACTCTTTAAAGGTCATCTCACCAGCTGGAAATATAGAGGTCAATACTTTTAAACCTTAAATCTGTTCATAACCCGCTCAGTCGGTTCACCTCCCCCAGCCGGGTCATTTAAGTCGTTGAGCACTGAACAGCAAGCTAATTTAAATCATGGCTTAATCATCTTCTGGTGCATTTAACATATATATCCAAAGTTAAACTTAAATCTTTTAATTTATAAGTCTAAGCTTTACATATCTTATATTTAATTTTACGAAAATTCTATATTTTACAAAAAAAACTATATTTTACAAAAAAAACTATATTTTACAAAAGAAAACTTTATTTTTCAAAAAATCCTTGATTTTACAAAAAATCCTATGTATTGTTTGTAATTTAAAAATTGATTTTGTTCTCTGTGATAATAAATAATTCAATCATTAAACATGACATGAGCTGAAAACTTTAGAATGGTGGATATCAGGATTAAGGCTTAAACCACTCTTTTTCTTAATATCCAGTTTAAATATTGCTTGTTCTCCACATGAATTTAAACTCCAGAGAAGCTAATCCATCGGATATCTGGATATTTCATTCTAAAGTTTTCAGCTATGGTCATTAAATATTTAGATCTTCCGCGAAAATAATTTTTAAATAAACTCAAAGTATACAAATAAGAATGTTATAGGAAAAATGAAGGTAATCTACAGTGGTAGGAGTATATATCAATACAATGAATATGACTCTAAATTAAAGTTTTGATTGTTAATTTGTTAATTTGTTAACAACCTTCTTCAAATTCCAGGTTTACATACGTGTATTGTGTATCCTTGCAGATTGGAAGCTTGGAAGAAATTAAAAATTTAAATCAAACTTAGTCTTCATTAGCATGTATTGATATTAACAACGCTATAAAGCGATAAATGGTATGATTGGGTCGCAAAATATTTTCTTAAATATTTTAGATTTTGAAAAATGTATATTTATACTCGCCAAGATATTTCTCTGTTAACTCTCTGTCTCTTGTCATGGCTTCTGATTTATCTCCGGAATCCTGAAACAAAGTAAATAAAGCATATTACAGGGCTGTTGTAATTTCAAGTAAAACCTTTAGTAAAAAGGAGAATGTTCGATTCCCAACTGTACTCTTTAAACTTTCAAATAGAATCGAATCCACAGTTGGAAATAATCAATTTCAAATTTCAAACACCTCATTTATAATATGTAAGGTTCAAGTGTACCGTTGTGTATAGTCCCTTTAATAGAAGTCATACTTATGAACAGATAAAATAGAATAAATAAATACATATTAACAGAAGGGAATAAATACCCATTAAAGGAAACAAACCGTAAAACATATCATAATTTAAGCAGAAATATAAAAAGAAATATTTTTAATGCGTACATACCATTACATAGTTTCATTTGTACTTTTATTTTGTCCCTTAATCCCTCCTGTTTAACGGGGGAGGGGGGCTATCTAAGATTCTTAATGTAATCTAGACTAATCTTGCAAAGGGGGAGGGACTCAAGATTCTTGACCCCCCTCCCCTCTCTGTTTTATGGGAGGGGTGGTTACTCGTTTTTTCTAAAACCTCTTAGAGGACAAATGAAGCTCTGTTAAAATTAAATAAAATCTTCCAAAGGGGGATAAAGGATCGAATTTAGTCTTTGCCACACACTCTGATTTTCTACTTCATATATCTTTGATATCATATCAAAGAGATTTTAGATATTTCAAACTATGAACTCAAGTCAGATTAAACAGTTTAAAAATCAAAGGTTACACCATCATGAGGCAAAGCTATAGATTAGAAGGCTTGAGATTAATTCCTACCTGATAATCTCCAGGCACATCTTCTTCCCGTTCTCTATATCTCCACGTGCAAACCTGAGATGAGCTTCTCCCATGAGACCCTGGAGGGCAGGGTCCAACTTCTTTCTTCGTCCTCCCCTTGGTCCTCCTCCACCTCCTCGACCCTTCTTATATTTGAAAATTTTAGATGGGGAAGAGGGGGGATTTATTTTGAAGAATTAACCCCCCCCCCTGGATTGCAGAAGGGGAAATGATTTTTGAAAACGAAAAATTGAACATTTAGTTGATATCTCCCCTATTTGATATCTCCCCTATTTGATATCTCCCCTACTTGATATCTCCCCAAAAATCTTTTAATTTTCCCGATTCAGCGAGAACAAATATTCTTCTAATATCTTTCAAGAGGGGGGGAATGATTTTCCAAGAAATTATATACACTCCGGGATTAGATTAGATCAATGTGTATGGTTCTCAAAAAGTGATAAAACATGTAAATTGTCCAAACTGGCAAAAAAAGGTTTTACTCTCACAGGTAAAAAAACTCGAGTATGGAAATTAATTTCGATATATTTTATATCCTCCTCAGTCCTTCAGAAAATGACCAAAATTATTACAAATTAAAAATAAAGATAATGTAACAAATA